AGCTTGATGAAAAGCCTGTGTTCTGAACTATGAAATCACTTCCATTCATTTTTACTCCTTGAATCTCATGTATAAAAGTTCTGAAGTGGCTGGAACCCACCTGGTTAGAAGAGATAATCCACTTCTACAAGTTGTCCTCTGCCCTTCATATGTGCACTAACCCCCAAATTCCACTGCTACCCAAGAAATAAGTACATGTAATTTCCCAGATATTTCTGGAGAAGTCATTTCCTGCAGCACTACACAAAGCAAGAAAAAAGTATTTCCTTTTATTCTGGAGGGCCAGGGAAACATTTTTGGGGTTTATATACGACAGTTCTGTTAAAACTGTTTAATTAAGATTCAGTAGCCAGAAAGTATTCAAAGTGTGCTCAAGAAATCTACAAAAAATGATGAACATGGATGTACACCAATTCATTTTATTTGACAAAAGAGGTATGAGCATGAATTTGTCCAAAGGGATGTTATGCTCAAGGGTAAAATGGATGAGAGTGTTTTACTATGTATTTGACTTCATTTTAGATTTAATGATTTGAGGTTTCCTTTTTGTGGTTGTTTTGTTTTGCTACTGTTTCTGTTAATCCAATGACTTCTTACATTTATCAACCGTTAATCTAAAACTGAAATTAATGCAACTAAACTGAAATAAATACAACTGACACATGAGGAATAACAAAGGAGGGATTAAATCCTAAGCAAGAGCCTAGCTAATAACCCATATTACATGTATGTTCTTCACATTTGTCTCTGACTGTATGAAAAGTATAATGAATAGTATCCAAGGTTTCATATGGTGAAACAAATTACACAAGTTTTACATAAAATCAATATTTTTCATTGTGAAAACATAGAAATTGATTCATCATTCTTGAAATTCTATGTTTCTTTCCTTTCCTATTTAAATTAATTTATCTTACACATAACATTAAAAAGTTTTAACTTGCATAGTACACACATATATATTAGGGTATATTATAGTTAAGGCACATAGAGCCTGATAATCCCCTTATTTGTAAAATGAATGAAATAGGTAAATAATGATATAGGAATAAGTTCCTTGATTACAAAGAACACAAGGCACCATTGCACTATTTGCATTAATAATATTTCCTTATTTATATACATAAGTGGTAATTTTATCATAGTAATTTCTGGAGGTATTATATGAATAGAACTTCAAGATATTTTTGTTTCCAAAAATGCCTGAAAGCATTTTAGCTCTACAACTGAGGGTAACTTACTAACATGTTCTCTGTATAGAATTTTATCTTTATCTTTGAACATTTTATGTTTCTGTGTATGAATACCTGCATGGAAAATGCATTTGTCACCATGTTACTCTTATACAAGTTAGAAAATAAAAGAGAAGTTAAACTTCAGATTTGGCAAGATTTGAAAGGGACTGTGTACCTTCTAGTAATTCACATCTTTTCACAGGCACAGCCTTAGTTTTTCAATCAGGTTGTGGTTGATACTATGAGTACATGGGAATCCCTTCACAAATGCTTTTACTTCTCCTTCACTGATGGTATTAAGTGGGACTGTACATTTGGCAGTGTATTCGACAGAAAGTAATGCATAATACTGAGTGTTTACTCTAAGAACTGTAAGCAATAATTTTGAATGTGGAATTGTTGAAACTAGACTGAACATTATATTGGTACAGAGAAAATTTTAGTAAACTATAAATGAACAAATCATTTTAATGATCAAAGCAATTGATATAATGTCAAATCTAAGTAACAACAAAAATAATAGTGATTCTAGAAAGCACTGAAGAAAACACAATTATACTTTCATAGTAGTATGATTAATTTTGAGATAATTGTATAGTGTGTAAGTATAGGGTAAAACTAAATTACAGTAAAAACAGAAAACATATTAAAAGATTATTAGAGATTCAGGTGGTAAAACAGGTCCAAATCGAAGGCATGTGGAAAATTTGAAAACAAGATGGTGTTGAGAAGAAATTAGGTCATGAAACATGCAACTTAGGTCTGGAAGCATGCAAGAGTCTCAGATTAGACTGCACTGCACTTATTTCTTTGAGAATCAAGATATCACATTGATAAGGAAGGGAATATAGAGGTGTGAATAATATAAACTTGTTTATATTAGCCTGTATTCATATTTTATGTAGGTTTATTTCATTCCAGAAAGGTAGTGCAATATAGTCACCCATGTGCAACATAGTTACTTTTTTCACAAATAAAACCATCACTCAAAACTACACAGAAATAATATCTGAACTCCTTTTTAAAAATGAGTACATAAGGAATCAGAAAATTAGCTAAGCAGTTGATTTACTTGTCAATCCTGGATACTTGAGTTCATTCTCTGGTTCTTACATGGTAGAACTTGGAGAAAGCAGACTCTTATATGTTGTGCAATTTGTCCTCTGACTTTCATATTCATGCCATGGCACATTCTTGCTCACTCAGCACAGAAGCAAATGTAAGCAAGTAAATACAATGAAAACATCTTCCATAATAAAGCTGTGCAAATATTTTAATGTGCAACCATACTCAATAGGTAATTATTCAAAAGAGATGATCCAGCACCTTTTTTTACATTTATAAAATCAGAGAAACAAAAATTGAACAACAAAAGGCCTCTTTAGATTTTCAAATGTTGTTGTTTGAATTGATCTGAATTATTAGAAATGCATGCCAATGTGTGTCTGAGCCTCACTTAAAATCTTCACACAGCCACAAACAAGTTACCAAGATGTTGAATCTACAAAGCCTGAATTGTGTATAGATAACCAGTTTACTTGGCAGAGCCCCTAGTTCTCAAGCTTTTTTAACCCTAATAAATTGAAGAGTGAGTTTTAAAAACCTATCCTTGAAATGTCCCTAAGTGTGTTGAATCACTGTTAGGTGTCCAAAATGTTTAATTAGTCAAATAGATCCTTAAATGTTAGCAAAAGTTAAAAAAAAGACTATCTCTCAATAGTCATCAAATACTAATAGCTCCTTAGGAAATGGTGGTATTGCATATCAACCTTCCCACCTTGTATGTTGAGCTTTTGCCTGTGTGGAACTTGCACATATTTCATGCATGCTATTCAATCATTGTTAGCTCATATGTGCATCACTCTATTGTGTCAGGAAATCAATGTTTCCTTGACGTAATCCACCAGATCCAGATCACATAATCTTTCTGCTCCCTCTTTAGCATAGTACCCTGAGCCTCAGAGTTAAATATGAATATATATTTGTTGTCTTCTCGTTGCACTGTTTTAATTTCCATTTACTATAAGGGAAATATTCTTTGATGAGGGTTTGAGAGATTTTCTGATCTATGAGTATTGCAGTAAGTTATTAGGTATCATTTCAATTGTCCATTTAGTAGAGTAACAGTTTGTCACTGACAAAAGGAGAGGCATCTATACCATGAAATTTCAGTTTCATATTTCACATGTCTAAAAGTGTTCTGAAGTTTCTTTAATATAAAAATTATTTTCTTCTAAATTTAAAATAGCTATCCTTCTTCTGTTTTTTGTTTGTTTGTTTGTTTGTTTTGATTTGTTTTCATTTTGGGGGGTGACAAACTGTCATCAGAGTATGATTGTAATATGAAAAAACAAGATCAATATAAATTCTGTGTCTACTCAAAACTTTCAAAAATCTTTGACTAGTCAATGAATTAAGTTGAGTTAATGTTTTATGGACCCATATGTGGATGTAGGCAATATTTTCTATTTATAATCTATAGCAATGGGGAATTAGACTGTAGAGTTTAATCCTAAAGGGCAAATTTTATAATACTATTTGAATATTTTATTTCATATTGTTGAGTCAAAATATTTTTCTTACGTTGTGTTCAGTGATTTAAAGCAAAAAGAAATTTTAAAAAATGTATTGAGAAGAGATTATGCTAGAAGTCTTATAATGCTTTTCTGGATATGAGCCAATAATGGATTTCCCAGTTTTTAAGGGATGGTAGCAGATGGCAAACTTCAACTACAGTTCAGAGTATGCTATACATGTGCACTGAATAAAGTACTGATGGTATATTGTTAATAAGTCTGTTGAGACTACATCAAATAGGATGCCATTTAAATTTTTCATGTTCCATACTCAAAATCCACCCAGGTACATATCAAGGCACACCTCACCATCTACTCTATCCATGACCTCTTGGAGTATATGAAAGGACTGGTCCTGCAGAATCATGGCAATATGGTCTGCATGACTGGCATAACAGATGATTCACTGGGACTCCATGGATAATGAACTGACTGTAGCCCAAAAGTATTGCTTTAGTGGATAAATTAAGTCCTAGTCCCTACTTCAAATGACGTGACAGATTTAGATGACCCCTTCTGGATGGCATCAACCTACATGTGGAGTGGGGGGTGGGAGGGGAAGTTGGTTGGGGTACATGTGAGGTGGATAAAGAGGGAAAGAGGGAGGTAGGGAGGGAGAATCAATTGGGTCGATATGTAAAATAAAAAAGGCAATAAAAATAAATGTAAATTAAGGAGGAAGGCACATATGCTTCACATGCAAGAGGACTCTATATTTTGTTGGAAATTGATAATTAAAAAGGGAAACTTGATAAAAACATATGGATTTTTAAAAGATTAATATTTCATGATATTCAAGCCTACTATGTATCTTTTTGTTTGTTTTTGTTTTTCGAGACAGGAATTCTCTGTGTAGGTTAGGGGCCTGTCCTGGAACTCACTCTGTAGAAAAGGCCAGACTCGATCTCACAGAACAAAACTTGCAAGAAGAGTCTAGTGTCTTGGAGGAGATATTTTACAGAGAATGGCTACATTGAGTTGAATAAAATGAATGCCATGTTCATGAGACTAGATCAAATTTGACTCCAAAATTTGTGTCTACCTAACTAGGAAGATATTGATGCTGTTAACAATCATTGAAGCATCTGATTAAAAGGGATGTGGTATATGGGAATAAATTCCTTTTCTTTTTCTATATAGAAGAAAGAGATAATAAGGAAATGATATACCTTATTCCTTGCTTTCTTAGGTTGGATGCCGATATAACTGAACTTCACAGTTGGATTACTCGTTCAGAAGTTGTATTGCAGAGTCCTGAATTTGCAGTCTATCGGAAAGAAGGCAACATTTCAGACTTGAAAGAAAAAGTCAATGTATGTTCTGACTTATATTATTTGTTTATCCTTATATTGTGCTGCTCACAAATTCGTTTCTGTTCATGGTTTGTTCTATAGCTTAGAAAGTTTATAAAATAAAATGTTGCACAATATAATAAATTAAAGTAGGACAAGGTGATAGAGTACCCTATTTATGGAGGCTCAAATAAATATTTTATAGTAAACACTACCTGTCATGAATTATAAGATACTTACATATTGTATCAGCTCACCTGCAAGGTGTGCACCACCTTTCAGTACTTGCTTTAAGTAACACATACTTAACTATGATTATTCCTTTCTAAGATTATAAGATTTGACCTTCAAACAGGACTTTTATTGACTTACTAAGAATTGTTCCATGTTCTTGGCTTTGTTTCTTCAACTTCGAAAATTATAGACATTCACATTTGCTATGTAATTGATACTATACTCTAAGAGACTTCTATGTATAATGGTAAATAAAAGGAACAGGCTCAGAATAATAAATGTGAAATAATTTTAGTTAGAATAGTATCACTCATAAGTGTATGCATTACCATTTAAGTCATGACCTATGAAATCCCTTTACATGATTGCAAATATAATACTACCTCACAAATAACATTTCCATGAAAGGTAAATATGTTCAAACTCCTTTATATTAGATAGATACGAAGACAGATAGATGGATAGATAGATATAACTTTTGTATGAATAACCAACTAGAAGATTGCCATAGGGCTTCTTTATATATATTTATTTTTAGTTACGTCATTCTATAGCCATCAGTCTCCTCTGTAATCTTTCTCAGATACAATCTCAAAGCTAACATTATCCTGCATTTCTTTGATATAACCTGTGATTACTTTTTTTTTTAACTTGGGCTTAAAAATCATGGGCATAAAAATTATGTATTTCAAGATTCCATTGCTTTTTCCCTGCTGAGTAATTTTCCATTATGTAAATTACCACATTTTCTTTACCCATTATTCTGTTTAGGGGGATGTAGATTGCTTCCAGGTTCTGGCTATTACAAATAATGTTGCCATAAACATAGTTGAATAGATATCCTTGTTGTATGAATGCAGATCCTCTGTGTGTAAGGATCCGCTTAAGAGTGGAATTGCTGGGTCTTGAGGTAGATTGATTCCCATTTTCCTGAGGAATTACCATACTGATTTCCAAAGTGTCTGTAAAAGTTTGCCCTCCCACCAGCAAGGAAGGAGTGTTCCTCTTTCTCTATATTCTCTCCAGCATAAACTGTCATTGATGATTTTGATTTTAGCCATTTTGACAGGTACAAGATGGTATCCCAGAGTTGCTTTGATTTGATTTGCATTATCCTGATGGCTAAGGATGTTGAGCCCTTCCTTAAGTGTCTTTCAGCCAGTTTAGTTCCTCTATTGAGAATTCCATATTTAGTTTTGTACCCCACTTTTTTAGAAGAAACTGTCCTGAGTGAGGTAACCCAGTCACAAAAACACAAACATTGTATATAATCACTCATATATGGGTAATAGACATAGAGCAAAGGATTACCAGTCTACAATCCACACCTCCAGAGAAGCTAGGAAACAAGGAAGACCCTAAGAGAGACATATATGCTCCCCTAGGGAAGGGGAAATGGAAAAGATCTCCTGAGAAAATTGGAAGCAAGGGGGAAAGGAAAGGGAGGAGAAACAGAAGTTGAGAAGAGGAGCAGGGGAGAAAATCATGAGGGACCATGATTTAAAGAGAAAACTGGCACTAGGGAAATGTCCAGAGATCTACAAGGATGACCCCAACTAACAATCTAAGCTATAGTAGAGAGGATTTATTAAATTCCCTGACTCTATAATGAGATTGATGGCTGCCTTATATGCCATCTTAGATCTTTCACCCAGTAACTGATGGAAGCAGAACCAGAGACCCCCCAGCTAAGCACTGAGTCGAATTCCTGGAAACAAGTTGTAGAAAGTGAGAAATGATGAGCAAATGGGTCAAGAACAGGCTGGAGAAACCCACACAAACAGCTGACTTGAGCAGACAGCTCATGGACACCAGACTTACAGCTGGGAAACCAGCATAGGACAGAACCAGGCACCATGAATGTGGATATAAGTTAGGGGACCTGAGCAGTCCATGGGGACCCTAGTAGTGGAACAGCATTTATCCCCAGTGTATTAATGGACATTGGGAGCTCATCACCCACAGAGGGATACTCTCTCAGCCTAGACACATGGGGGAGGGTCTAGGCCTTACTTCAAATGATATAACAGACTTTAACGATTCCCCTAATGGAAGGCCTCACCTTCCATTCTGTTCTTCTATTGAGCAGAAGAGGCATGGGATAGGTGTTGTTGGGGTGGGCATGGGAGCATGGGAGGGAGAGGAAACTGGGATTGATACACAAAATAACATTTTTTTTCAAATGTAAATAAAAAAGGAAAAATTCTTGGAATAGAAAATTCTCTAAGTTATCCTCTAAGTTTCAAAGTTCATATGATGTATCCATCTACATATGTATGAATCACCTTGTAATTTTATTAGTTAACTCAGGCTATTATTTACTTAATCTGTGTAGTTATGTGTGTACCATCTTATGTCAGCCTTTTAAAATGGCATTAGTTAAGCATGAGAATGGATTGCCACCCACAATGTAGGAAAAATAAATTAAAATTTTCTCTATCATTTGGCAACTTGAAAGCAAATGTCAAAAAAATCAATAATGCCAACATGATAGACTAAAAGTACTCAAATGTACAATACTCTATAAGTCATTTTATGATTCCTTCTAAATCACCTTTATCAAGTTTAACTTTCATCTTCCGAAATAACAAAATCACTTTAATTGCTTGCTAAAATAGGACATGAAATTATGTGCCTAGAGTTTTCCTTCAAGATATATATATATATATATATATATATATATATATATATATATATATATCAGAGACCCTTGAGAGAACTGATGATGGATATTTATTTAGCTCAGGTATACATTAATTTTCTTAATTTCTTCACTTGTCAGTTTATGTAAGTTATTTTGAACTCAGGAGAGGCCTTTCCCATAAAAGTGCCTGGTATTAATTCACTTGTAGATACCAATTTTGCTTTTTACTTTTGTTGCTGGTTTTCTTCACTCATACCTAAAGTATTTTTAAATTTTTATTTATATTTATTAGTGTTATTTGTATTGATTCTTTAGGAATTTCACATTGTAAACTCTTAACCCTCTCATTTCTCAGTCCTTCCAGGTCTGCCCTCCACCCTTATTTTTCATGAAGTTCTCTTCTCCCCTAGCTTACTGCTATATGTTATGCATTTGACATATTTTGACACTTGTTCCAACTCAATATTTGGAAAATAAATTTCCTATACTTCATCCTTTATTTTTGACTAGAAGTTTCTATATTTATTCTCATTAAATTAGCATCTAAGGGGCAAACGAATTAGCTCAGTGGTTAAAAATATGCCTTGCTCTTGCAGAGGAAATGTTACCATTCCCCAAAACCATGGGATCACTCAATACTATCTGTAATTCTAATTCTAGGAGATCTGATACCTTCTGATGTCCATGAAAACCTGTCATGCAGGTGATTCACATACATACACCAATACAAAACACATACAAGAAAAAGAAATTCTAAATAATATCTAAGCTAAAAGTATCCACATACACACACACACACACACACACACACACTCATACTTACATACATACATACAAACATACATACATACATACATACATACATACATACATACATACCTCCAAATCTTTCTCATAAAAGTCCAGAGGAATACATCTAATTAGGTGGGTTTAAACTGATTGTATAGTGTATACAGTCAATAGGATGACAGATAGTGTCAATCATTAGGTGAATTTTGTTATTTTGTGTATGAGCTTAGGAAATGATTTAAAAGGTAAAAAAAGCTATTAGAGAAATTTAGAGGAAATTAGCTTGGAAACTTAAATTATACCTGATTACCTTCCTATCTTACCTTTATACATTTTCTTTTATTTCCACTTAATAAGAAACTGAAAAGAAAATTAGGCTACCAAGATGTTTGTTTCTGCTCTATTACTAGATATTTGAACTATAGAATTTCTCTATAATCCTTTATGACAGTGAAAAGTATACGCTACAAGGATCTTTGTGTTCATTGCATAAAGTAAGAATCTTTCAGCTGGTCCACCTTTTGAAGTTTTAATTTCACCACTGCTAAACCAGACTTACTATAAATTAAATGTGATCTTGATATGTTTCTGTTTATAGAAATTGGAAAAATATAAGCAGTAACAGTAGCTACCTTTGCTCTTCAGTTAGGACTCTGAGTTCTTAGGTGCTACTATCCTGGGACTTGCTGTCAGTCTATGATTTTTTTTTCATCCCCATTAAATAATTTCTAAGAATTCTAACATTAGAGAAGGCCACTGAATATAATCACTTCTTAGAACAGATAATTACAAGCTACCCTTAAACAATCAGGTATCCCCTCATCTTCACAAATATGCTTAAGTATTCTTTAGAAAAAATCATGATTTTTTACTTCTTCACAAGATTTTAAAAGGTAAGAAAACTAGGTATCAATTACTGCTAGTACTTTATATCGTTAACTAAAACAAAAAGCAACCACATTTCATTACTTCCTTATCTACCACAAGTTACAATTTAAAAATTAATACCTTGAAACTTTTCAGGTGCTTATTCTGCATGTCTTTCTTGTTATTCTGCATGTTATTCTGCAGCTGCATACTTGCCATGTCTATTTTGGAAAATAAAAAGCATTTTTACATAGTGTGCAGGTCTGCTCTTTCTGAAAAATAAAGCAACCTCACAGTGCGATGGTCTATTCCTAGTGGCCCTTGAATAAAATGTTTTGATAAGATCACCACCTCCCTGAAATTAAGCTGCTTATTAATCAGAAAATGTCCCTTTATGTGTGATTTTATATTATTTTATATGTGTTTTATATTCATACTTTCATATTGAAATTTTACCTTGTATTTTGCACACTGAATTATGAATTTT